AGAGAGAGACCAGAGAGAGACCAGAGAGAGACCAGAGAGAGAGACCAGAGAGAGACTAGAGAGAGAGACCAGAGAGAGACCAGAGAGACCAGAGAGAGACCAGAGAGAGACCAGAGAGAGACCAGAGAGAGAGACCAGAGAGAGACCAGAGAGAGAGACCAGAGAGAGACTAGAGAGAGAGACCAGAGAGAGAGACCAGAGAGAGACCAGAGAGACCAGAGAGAGACCAGAGAGGGACCAGAGAGAGACCAGAGAGAGACCAGAGAGACCAGAGAGAGACCAGAGAGAGACCAGAGAGAGAGACCAGAGAGAGAGACCAGAGAGACCAGAGAGAGACCAGAGAGAGACCAGAGAGAGAGACCAGAGAGACCAGAGAGAGACCAGAGAGAGACCAGAGAGACCAGAGAGAGACCAGAGAGAGACCAGAGAGAGACCAGAGAGAGACCAGAGAGACCAGAGAGAGACCAGAGAGAGACCAGAGAGAGACCAGAGAGAGAGACCAGAGAGAGACTAGAGAGAGAGACCAGAGAGAGAGACCAGAGAGAGACCAGAGAGAGAGACCAGAGAGAGAGACCAGAGAGAGAGACCAGAGAGAGAGACCAGACAGAGGACCAGAGAGAGACCAGAGAGAGACCAGAGAGAGACCAGAGAGAGACCAGAGAGAGAGACCAGAGAGAGACCAGAGAGAGACCAGAGAGAGACCAGAGAGAGACCAGAGAGAGAGACCAGAGAGAGAGACCAGAGAGAGAGAGACCAGAGAGAGAGACCAGAGAGAGACCAGAGAGACCAGAGAGAGACCAGAGAGAGAAACCAGAGAGAGAGACCAGAGAGAGAGACCAGAGAGAGACCAGAGAGAGAGACCAGAGAGAGAGACCAGAGAGGGACCAGAGAGAGAGACCAGAGAGAGAGACCAGAGAGAGACCAGAGAGAGACCAGAGAGAGACCAGAGAGAGAGACCAGAGAGAGAGACCAGAGAGAGAGACGAGAGAGAGACCAGAGAGAGACCAGAGAGAGAGACCAGAGAGGGACCAGAGAGAGAGACCAGAGAGAGAGACCAGAGAGAGACCAGAGAGAGACCAGAGAGAGACCAGAGAGAGAGACCAGAGAGAGAGACCAGAGAGAGAGACCAGAGAGAGACCAGAGAGAGAGACCAGAGAGGGACCAGAGAGAGAGACCAGAGAGAGACCAGAGAGAGACCAGAGAGAGACCAGAGAGAGACCAGAGAGAGAGACCAGAGAGAGAGACCAGAGAGAGAGACCAGAGAGAGACCAGAGAGAGAGACCAGAGAGGGACCAGAGAGAGACCAGAGAGAGAGACCAGAGAGAGAGACCAGAGAGAGAGACCAGAGAGAGAGACCAGAGAGAGAGACCAGAGAGAGACCAGAGAGAGAGACCAGAGAGAGAGACCAGAGAGAGAGACCAGAGAGAGAGACCAGAGAGAGAGACCAGAGAGAGAGACCAGAGAGAGACCAGAGAGAGACCAGAGAGAGACCAGAGAGAGACCAGAGAGAGACCAGAGAGAGAGACCAGAGAGAGACCAGAGAGAGACCAGAGAGAGACCAGAGAGAGACTGGGGGATGGAGACTTCTGATCAGGGTCTCTCTGGTGTGTGTGTTTTGTGGATGTACTTCCAGACACTGTTCAGACACAAGGCCATGTCTGTGACTCACTGATAAAGAGCGCCCTCTGCTGGTCACTTTACAAACACACATGAATGAACTGTGTAATACACTCACTGAAGGTTAGTGCCACTAAGGAGGTGGGGGGAGAGGGAGGAGGTGGGGGGAGGAAGAGGGAGCAGGTGGGGGGGGGGAGAGGAGGTGGAGGGAGGAAGAGGGAGCAGGTGGGGGGGGGGAGAGGAGGTGGAGGGAGGAAGAGGGAGCAGGTGGGAGGGGGGAGAGAGGAGGTGGAGGGAGGGAGAGGGAGCAGGTGGGAGGGGGGAGAGGAGGTGGAGGGAGGGAGAGGGAGCAGGTGGGAGGGGGGAGAGGAGGTGGAGGGAGGGAGAGGGAGGAGGTGCAGGGAGGAAGAGGGAGCAGGTGGAGGGAGGGAGAGGGAGCAGGTGGAGGGAGGGAGATTGAGGAGGTGTGTGTTCATGACTGAGGTGTGTGTTCATGGCTGAGGTGTGTGTTCATGACTGAAGTATGCGTTCATGGCTCAGGTGTGTGTTCATGACTGAGGTGTGTGTTCATGACTGAAGTGTGTGTTCATGACTGAGGTGTGTGTTCATGACTGAAGTGTGTGTTCATGACTGAGGTGTGTGTTCATGGCTGAGGTGTGTGTTCTTGGCCGAGGTGTTTGTTCCTGGCTGAGGTGTGTGTTCAAGGCTGAGGCGTGTGTTCATGACTGAGGTGTGTGTTCATGACTGAAGTGTGTGTTCATGGCTGACGTGTGTGTTCATGACTGAGGCTGAGGTGTGTGTTCATGACTGAAGTGTGTGTTCATGGCTGAGGTGTGTGTTCATGACTGAGGCTGAGGTGTGTGTTCATGACTGAAGTGTGTGTTCATGACTGAGGTGTATGTTCATGACTGATGTGTGTGTTCATGGCTGAGGTGTGTGTTCATGACTGAGGTGTGTGTTCATAGCTGAGGTGTGTGTTCATGGCTGAGGTGTGTGTTCATGACTGAGGCTGAGGTGTGTGTTCATGACTGAAGTGTGTGTTCATGACTGAGGTGTGTGTTCATGGCTGAGGTGTGTGTTCATGGCTGAGGTTTGTGTTCATGGCCGAGGTGTTTTGTTCCTGGCTGAGGTGTGTGTTCATGGCTGAGGTGTGTGTTCATGACTGAGGTGTGTGTTCATAGCTGAGGTGTGTGTTCATGGCTGAGGTGTGTGTTCATGGCTGAGGTGTGTGTTCATGACTGAGGCTGAGGTGTGTGTTCATGACTGAAGTGTGTGTTCATGACTGAGGTGTGTGTTCATGGCTGAGGTGTGTGTTCATGACTGAGGTGTGTGTTCATGGCTGAGGTGTGTGTTCATAGCTGAGGTGTGTGTTCATGGCTGAGGTGTGTGTTCATGACTGAGGCTGAGGTGTGTGTTCATGACTGAAATGTGTGTTCATGACTGAGGTGTGTGTTCATGGCTGAGGTGTGTGTTCATGGCTGAGGTGTGTGTTCATGGCTGAGGTGTGTGTTCATGACTGAAGTGTGTGTTCATGACTGAAGTGTGTGTTCATGACTGAGGTGTGTGTTCATGACTGAAGTGTGTGTTCATGACTGAAGTGTGTGTTCATGACTGAGGTGTGTGTTCATGACTGAAGTGTGTGTTCATGGCTGAGGTGTGTGTCCATGACTGAAGTGTGTGTTCATGACTGAAGTGTGTGTTCATGACTGAAGTGTGTGTTCATGCCTGAGGTGTGTGTTCATGACTGAAGTGTGTGTTCATGACTGAGGTGTGTGTTCATGGCTGAGGTGTGTGTTCTTGGCCGAGGTGTTTGTTCCTGGCTGAGGTGTGTGTTCAAGGCTGAGGCGTGTGTTCATGACTGAGGTGTGTGTTCATGACTGAAGTGTGTGTTCATGGCTGAGGTGTGTGTTCATGACTGAGGCTGAGGTGTGTGTTCATGACTGAAGTGTGTGTTCATGGCTGAGGTGTGTGTTCATGACTGAGGCTGAGGTGTGTGTTCATGAATGAAGTGTGTGTTCATGACTGAGGTGTGTGTTCATGACTGATGTGTGTGTTCATGGCTGAGGTGTGTGTTCATGACTGAGGTGTGTGTTCATAGCTGAGGTGTGTGTTCATGGCTGAGGTGTGTGTTCATGACTGAGGCTGAGGTGTGTGTTCATGACTGAAGTGTGTGTTCATGACTGAGGTGTGTGTTCATGGCTGAGGTGTGTGTTCATGGCTGAGGTTTGTGTTCATGGCCGAGGTGTTTGTTCCTGGCTGAGGTGTGTGTTCATGGCTGAGGTGTGTGTTCATGACTGAGGTGTGTGTTCATAGCTGAGGTGTGTGTTCATGGCTGAGGTGTGTGTTCATGACTGAGGCTGAGGTGTGTGTTCATGACTGAAGTGTGTGTTCATGACTGAGGTGTGTGTTCATGGCTGAGGTGTGTGTTCATGACTGAGGTGTGTGTTCATGGCTGAGGTGTGTGTTCATAGCTGAGGTGTGTGTTCATGGCTGAGGTGTGTGTTCATGACTGAGGCTGAGGTGTGTGTTCATGACTGAAATGTGTGTTCATGACTGAGGTGTGTGTTCATGGCTGAGGTGTGTGTTCATGGCTGAGGTGTGTGTTCATGGCTGAGGTGTGTGTTCATGGCTGAGGTGTGTGTTCATGACTGAAGTGTGTGTTCATGGCTGAGGTGTGTGTTCATGACTGAAGTGTGTGTTCATGGCTGAGGTGTGTGTTCATGACTGAGGCTGAGGTGTGTGTTCATGACTGAAGTGTGTGTTCATGACTGAGGTGTGTGTTCATGGCTGAGGTGTGTGTTCATGGCTGAGGTGTGTGTTCATGACTGAGGTGTGTGTTCATGGCTGAGGTGTGTGTTCATGGCTGAGGCGTGTGTTCATGACTGAGGTGTGTGTTCATGACTGAGGTGTGTGTTCATGACTGAGGTGTGTGTTCATGACTGAAGTGTGTGTTCATGACTGATGTGTGTGTTCATGGCTGAAGTGTGTGTTCATGACTGAGGTGTGTGTCTTACCTGTCTGCACTGGAACACCGCAGCTCAGTGTGTAGCTGTTCTCAGAGTCTGCAACAAAAAACACAAAAGTACAATTAATCCCCGTTTCCATCTAGTCTACCTTAGACTTTACTCTAGAGAGAGACCAGAGAGAGACCAGAGAGAGACCAGAGAGCGAGAGACCAGAGAGAGAGAGAGACCAGAGAGAAAGACCGGAGAGAGAGACCAGAGAGAGACCAGAGAGAGACCAGAGAGAGACCAGAGAGAGACCAGAGAGCGAGAGACCAGAGAGAGACCAGAGAGAGAGACCAGAGAGAGACCAGAGAGAGACCAGAGAGAGACCAGAGAGAGACCAGAGAGAGACCAGAGGAGACCAGAGAGAGAGACCAGAGAGAGACCAGAGAGAGACCAGAGAGAGACCAGAGAGAGAGACCAGAGAGAGACCAGAGAGAGGCCAGAGAGAGACCAGAGAGAGACCAGAGAGAGAGACCTGAGAGAGAGACCAGAGAGAGAGATCAGAGAGAGACCAGAGAGAGAGACCAGAGAGAGAGATCAGAGAGAGACCAGAGAGAGAGACCAGAGAGAGACCAGAGAGAGACCAGAGAGAGAGACCAGAGAGAGACCAGAGAGAGACCAGAGAGAGAGACCAGAGAGAGAGACCAGAGAGAGAGATCAGAGAGAGACCAGAGAGAGAGACCAGAGAGAGAGATCAGAGAGAGACCAAGAGAGAGAGACCAGAGAGAGAGACCAGAGAGAGACCAGAGAGAGAGACCAGAGAGAGACCAGAGAGAGAGACCTGAGAGGGAGACCAGAGTGAGACCAGAGAGAGAGATCAGAGAGAGACACTAGAGAGAGAGATCAGAGAGAGAGACCAGAGAGAGAGACCAGAGAGAGAGACCAGAGAGCGAGATCGGAGAGAGAGACCAGAGAGAGAGATCAGAGAGAGAGACCAGAGAGAGAGACCAGAGAGATAACTAGAGAGAGATAGAGAGAGAGACCAGAGAGAGATCAGAGAGAGAGACCAGAGAGAGAGATGAGAGAGAGACCAGAGAGAGACCAGAGAGAGAGATCAGAGAGAGAGACCAGAGAGAGAGACCAGAGAGAGACCAGAGAGACCAGAGAGAGAGACCAGAGAGAGACCAGAGAGAGACCAGAGAGAGAGACCAGAGAGAGAGACCAGAGAGAGAGACCAGAGAGAGACCAGAGAGAGACCAGAGAGAGAGATCAGAGAGAAAGACCAGGGAGAGACCAGAGAGAGAGACCAGAGAGAGAGACCAGAGAGAGAGACCAGAGAGAGACCAGAGAGAGACCAGAGAGAGAGATCAGAGAGAGAGACCAGGGAGAGACCAGAGAGAGACCAGAGAGAGAGATCAGAGAGAGAGACCAGAGAGAGAGACCAGAGAGAGACATCAGAGAGAGAGATCAGAGAGAGACCAGAGAGAGAGAGTTACGAGAGAGACCAGAGAGACTAGAGGGAGAGAGAGACTAGAGAGAGAGAGAGACTAGAGAGACCAGAGAGACTAGAGGGAGAGAGAGACTAGAGAGATACTAGAGAGACTAGAGAGACTAGAGGGAGAGAGAGACCAGAGAGACAAGAGGGAGAGAGAGAGAGATACAAGACAGAGAGAGACTAGAGAGAGAGAAAGACCAGAGAGACTATAGGGAGAGAGAGAGACAAGAGAGAGAGAGAGACCAGAAAGAGAGAGAGACAAGAGAGACCAGAGAGACCAGAGAGAGACCCAAAGGACCGATGTCTCTCAGCTGACCTGGGAACGCCCCCAGATGACTGAGGTCTCTGCTCAGACTGCTGCCCCCGCAACCCGGCAATGGATAAAGCGGGGGAAAAATGTACGAATGGAAACAGTGCATCACAGGGACAGGGAATTCTGCAGCGTTCAGTGTGAGAGAAATGAATTTGTTTTAAATGAGATTCAGACGAGAATCTATACTTTTACCAAAGAACCTAGATCCTTGAGCACAGAGCTGGTGTGAAGAAGGACAGAGGCCACTAGGGGGCAGCATATCCCTGCACCAGAGTATTCCACACACTGGGTCTGAAGCAGCACTTTGGGGTGGGTCTCTCTCTAAATGTTGGGGTTAGTCTCTAAATGTTGGGGTGGGTCTCTCTCTAAATGTTGGGGTTAGTCTCTAAATGTTGGGGTGGGTCTCTCTCTAAATGTTGGGGTCTCTCTCTAAATGTTGGGGTTGGTCTCTCTCTAAATGTTGGGGTTGGTTTCTCTCTAAATGTTGGGGTTGGTCTCTAAATGTTGGGGTTGGTCTCTCTCTAAATGTTGGGGTTGGTCTCTCTCTAAATGTTGGGGTTGGTTTCTCTCTAAATGTTGGGGTTGGTCTCTAAATGTTGGGGTTGGTCTCTAAATGTTGGGGATAGTGTCTAAATGTTGGGGTTGGTCTCTAAATGTTGGGGTTGGTCTCTAAATGTTGGGGTTAGTCTCTAAATGTTGGGGTTGGTCTCTAAATGTTGGGGTTAGTCTCTAAATGTTGGGGTTGGTCTCTAAATGTTGGGGTTAGTCTCTAAATGTTGGAGTTGGTCTCTAAATGTTGGGGTTGGTCTCTCTAAATGTTGGGGTTGGTCTCTCTCTAAATGTTGGGGTTGGTCTCTCTCTAAATGTTGGGGTCTCTCTCTAAATGTTGGGGTTGGTCTCTAAATGTTGGGGTTTGTCTCTAAATGTTGGGGTTGGTCTCTCTAAATGTTGGGGTTGGTCTCTCTCTAAATGTTGGGGTTGGTCTCTCTCTAAATGTTGGGGTGGGTCTCTCTCTAAATGTTGGGGTTAGTCTCTAAATGTTGGGGTGGGTCTCTCTCTAAATGTTGGGGTCTCTCTCTAAATGTTGGGGTTAGTCTCTAAATGTTGGAGTTGGTCTCTAAATGTTGGGGTTGGTCTCTCTAAATGTTGGGGTTGGTCTCTCTCTAAATGTTGGGGTTGGTCTCTCTCTAAATGTTGGGGTCTCTCTCTAAATGTTGGGGTTAGTCTCTAAATGTTGGGGTTTGTCTCTCTCTAAATGTTGGGGTTGGTCTCTCTCTAAATGTTGGGGTTGGTCTCTCTAAATGTTGGGGTTGGTCTCTCTCTAAATGTTGGGGTTGGTTTCTCTCTAAATGTTGGGGTTGGTCTCTCTCTAAATGTTGGGGTTGGTCTCTCTCTAAATGTTGGGGTTGGTCTCTCTCTAAATGTTGGGGTTGGTCTCTCTCTAAATGTTGGGGTTGGTCTCTCTCTAAATGTTGGGGTTGGTTTCTCTCTAAATGTTGGGGTTGGTCTCTCTCTAAATGTTGGGGTTGGTCTCTCTCTAAATGTCGGGGTCTCTCTCTAAATGTTTGGGTTGGTCTCTCTCTAAATGTTGGGGTCTCTCTCTAAATGTTGGGGTTGGTTTCTCTCTAAATGTAGGGGTTGGTCTCAAATGTTGGGGTTGGTCTCTAAATGTTGGGGTTGGTTTCTCTCTAAATGTTGGGGTTGGTCTCTCTCTAAATGTTGGGGTTGGTCTCTAAATGTTGGGGTTGGTCTCTCTCTAAATGTTGGGGTTGGTCTCTAAATGTTGGGGTTGGTCTCTCTCTAAATGTTGGGGATAGTCTCTAAATGTTGGGGTTAGTCTCTAAATGTTGGGGTTGGTCTCTCTCTAAATGTTGGGGTTGGTTTCTCTCTAAATGTTGGGGTTGGTCTCTCTCTAAATGTTGGGGTTGGTCTCTCTCTAAATGTTGGGGTTGGTCTCCAAATGTTGGGGTTGGTCTCTCTCTAAATGTTGGGGTTGGTCTCTCTCTAAATGTTGGGGTTAGTTTCTCTCTAAATGTTGGGGTTGGTCTCTCTCTAAATGTTGGGGATAGTCTCTAAATGTTGGGGTTGGTCTCTAAATGTTGGGGTTAGTCTCTAAATGTTGGGGTTAGTCTCTAAATGTTGGGGTTAGTCTCTAAATGTTGGTGTTGGTCTCTAAATGTTGGGGTTGGTCTCTAAATGTTGGGGTTAGTCTCTAAATGTTGGGGTTAGTCTGTAAATGTTGGGGTTGGTCTCTCTCTAAATGTTGGGGTTGGTTTCTCTCTAAATGTTGGGGTTGGTCTCTCTCTAAATGTTGGGGTTGGTCTCTCTCTAAATGTTGGGGTGGGTCTCTAAATGTTAGGGTTGGTCTCTCTCTAAATGTTGGGGATAGTCTCTAAATGTTGGGGTTAGTCTCTAAATGTTGGGGTTGGTCTCTCTCTAAATGTTGGGGTTGGTTTCTCTCTAAATGTTGGGGTTGGTCTCTCTCTAAATGTCGGGGTTGGTCTCCAAATGTTGGGGTTGGTCTCTCTCTAAATGTTGGGGTTGGTCTCTAAATGTTGGGGTTGGTCTCTCTCTAAATGTTGGGGTTGGTCTCTCTAAATGTTGGGGTTGGTCTCTCTCTAAATGTTGGGGTTGGTTTCTCTCTAAATGTTGGGGTTGGTCTCTCTCTAAATGTTGGGGTTGGTCTCTCTCTAAATGTTGGGGTTGGTCTCTCTCTAAATGTTGGGGTTGGTCTCTCTCTAAATGTTGGGGTTGGTCTCTCTCTAAATGTTGGGGTTGGTTTCTCTCTAAATGTTGGGGTTGGTCTCTCTCTAAATGTTGGGGTTGGTCTCTCTCTAAATGTCGGGGTCTCTCTCTAAATGTTTGGGTTGGTCTCTCTCTAAATGTTGGGGTCTCTCTCTAAATGTTGGGGTTGGTTTCTCTCTAAATGTTGGGGTTGGTCTCTAAATGTTGGGGTTGGTTTCTCTCTAAATGTTGGGGTTGGTCTCTCTCTAAATGTTGGGGATAGTCTCTAAATGTTGGGGTTAGTCTCTAAATGTTGGGGTTGGTCTCTCTCTAAATGTTGGGGTTGGTTTCTCTCTAAATGTTGGGGTTGGTCTCTCTCTAAATGTTGGGGTTGGTCTCTCTCTAAATGTTGGGGTTGGTCTCTCTCTAAATGTTGGGGTTGGTCTCTCTCTAAATGTTGGGGTTGGTCTCTCTCTAAATGTTGGGGTTAGTTTCTCTCTAAATGTTGGGGTTGGTCTCTAAATGTTGGGGTTGGTCTCTCTCTAAATGTTGGGGATAGTCTCTAAATGTTGGGGTTGGTCTCTAAATGTTGGGGTTAGTCTCTAAATGTTGGGGTTAGTCTCTAAATGTTGGGGTTAGTCTCTAAATGTTGGTGTTGGTCTCTAAATGTTGGGGTTAGTCTCTAAATGTTGGGGTTGGTCTCTAAATGTTGGGGTTAGTCTGTAAATGTTGGGGTTGGTCTCTCTCTAAATGTTGGGGTTGGTTTCTCTCTAAATGTTGGGGTTGGTCTCTCTCTAAATGTTGGGGTTGGTCTCTCTCTAAATGTTGGGGTGGGTCTCTAAATGTTAGGGTTGGTCTCTCTCTAAATGTTGGGGATAGTCTCTAAATGTTGGGGTTAGTCTCTAAATGTTGGGGTTGGTCTCTCTCTAAATGTTGGGGTTGGTCTCTCTCTAAATGTTGGGGTTGGTCTCTCTCTAAATGTCGGGGTTGGTCTCCAAATGTTGGGGTTGGTCTCTCTCTAAATGTTGGGGTTGGTCTCTAAATGTTGGGGTTGGTCTCTCTCTAAATGTTGGGGTTAGTTTCTCTCTAAATGTTGGGGTTGGTCTCTAAATGTTGGGGTTGGTCTCTCTCTAAATGTTGGGGTTGGTCTCTAAATGTTGGGGTTAGTCTCTAAATGTTGGGGTTGGTCTCTAAATGTTGGGGTTAGTCTCTAAATGTTGGGGTTGGTCTCTAAATGTTGGGGTCTCTCTCTAAATGTTGGGGTTGGTCTCTCTGGTCACCATCAGCAGCACCATCAGCAGCACCATCAGCAGTACCAGAACCATCAGCAGCACCATCAGCAGTACCAGTACCATCAGCAGCACCATCAGCAGTACCAGAACCATCAGCAGTACCAATACCATCAGCAGCACCATCAGCAGTACCAGAACCATCAGCAGCACCATCAGCAGTACCAGTACCATCAGCAGCACCATCAGCAGCACCATCAGCAGTACCAGCAGCAGCAGCAGTGTGGTTACCTGCCAGGAACAGGGCGTTGGAGGGGCAGGACAGGGAGCAGACCTCAGCTCCTCCGGTCTTGGAGCAGGACAGTTGAGCTCGTGGCGCTGGCTTCCCATTGGGCAGACACTTTACCGCCTCTGAGGAGACAACGCCGTTACCATGGTAACACAGACACTTTGGGTCGTCAGGGCAACAAGACGCTAACATGAACCAAGCAACGAAAGCGGCATATTTCCACCTGCGCCACATTAGCTACAATAAGGAATATCCTAAAAGTCTGTACTCCTGTGGAACCGTGGTCTATACAGAGACCGGGGTCTGGACAGAGACCGGGGTCTGGAAAGAGACCGGGGTCTGGACAGAGACTGGGGTCTGGACAGAGACTGGGGTCTGGACAGAGACTGGGGTCTGGACAGGGACTAGGGTCTTACCGATACAGTCTTTCTTGTTCCAGTGCAGTTTAGACCCTGGCGGACACAGGCACTCGAAGGCTCCTGGAGTGTTGACACAACCAAACTCACAGCTGCCATTGTTCATACTGCACTCATCGATATCTGAGGAAAAGAACCAGAGAGACCAGGGAGAGACCAGAGAGAGACCAGAGAGAGACCAGGGAGAGACCAGGGAGAGACCAGGGAGAGACCAGGGAGCGACCAGAGAGAGACCAGGGAGAGACCAGGGAGAGACCAGGGAGAGACCAGGGAGAGACCAGGGAGCGACCAGAGAGAGACCAGGGAGAGACCAGGGAGAGACCAGGGAGCGACCAGAGAGAGATCAGGGGAGACCAGGGAGAGACCAGAGAGAGACCAGAGAGAGACCAGGGAGAGACCAGGGAGAGACCAGGGAGAGACCAGGGAGCGACCAGAGAGAGACCAGGGAGAGACCAGGGAGAGACCAGGGAGCGACCAGAGAGAGACCAGGGAGAGACCAGGGAGAGACCAGAGAGAGACCAGGGAGAGACCAAAGAGAGACCAGGGAGAGACCAGAGAGAGACCAGGGAGAGACCAGGGAGAGACCAGGGAGAGACCAGGGAGAGACCAGGGAGAGACCAGAGAGAGACCAGGGAGCGACCAGAGAGAGACCAGGGAGAGACCAGGGAGAGACCAGGGAGCAACCAAAGAGAGACCAGGGAGAGACCAGGGAGAGACCAGAGAGAGACCAGGGAGAGACCAGGGAGAGACCAGAGAGAGACCAGGGAGAGACCAGAGAGAGAGACCAGGGAGAGACCAGGGAGAGACCAGGGAGAGACCAGGGAGAGACCAGAGAGAGACCAGGGAGCGACCAGAGAGAGACCAGGGAGAGACCAGGGAGAGACCAGGGAGCGACCAGAGAGAGACCAGGGAGAGACCAGGGAGAGACCAGAGAGAGACCAGGGAGAGACCAGGGAGAGACCAGGGAGAGACCAGGGAGAGACCAGGGAGAGACCAGGGAGAGACCAGGGAGAGACCAGGGAGAGACCAGGGAGAGACCAGAGAGAGACCAGAGAGAGACCAGAGAGAGAGACCAGAGAGAGACCAGAGAGAGACCAGAGAGAGACCAGAGAGAGACCAAGTCACATATGAGCAGCTTACTCAGTAACCGTTTGTGTCTCACCATTTTAGGCTCATATCTGGATTTACAAAAGTCGCGTTTCCACCGCAGGAGTTCCTGGTAAAGGCGGGACAGCGACAGGAACCGTCCTCTCCCTCGTCCTCAGTGGTCCTCTCAGGTCAGGTTCTCTGCCAGGTTCTCTGTAGGTTCTCTGTCAGGTTCTCTGTAGGTTCTCTGTCAGGTTCTCTGTCAGGTTCTCTGTCAAGTTCTCTGTCAGGTTCTCTGTCAAGTTCTCTGTAGGTTCTCTGTCAGGTTCTCTGTCAGGTTCTCTGTCAGGTTCTCTGTCAGGTTCTCTGTCAGGTTCTCTGTCAGGTTCTCTTTAAGGTTCTCTTTAAGGTTCTCTGTCAGGTTCTCTGTCAGCTGAGGTCGAGCTGTTTTAGTTTACATTGAGTTCTATGGGAGAATGTCTGGGTAGCCCACGTGAATTTAGTCTGGTTTAGTCTGGTTTAGTCTGCAGTACCGTGAGAATCCCCCGAGCACATGGTCCTTCAGCTTCAAGCTAGTAATACTCTATCCAGTTATTATAATAGATCCATGGCTGGGCCCTGTGGAGGGTCCTGTAAAAGGCCCTGTGGAGGGTCCTGTAAATGGCCCTGTGGAGGGTCCTGTAAAAGGCCCTGTGGAGGGTCCTGTAAACAGCCCTGTGGAGGGTCCTGTAAAAGGCCCTGTGGAGGGTCCTGTAAATGACCCTGTGGAGGGTCCTGTAAACAGCCCTGTGGAGGGTCCTGTAAAAGGCCCTGTGGAGGGTCCTGTAAACGGCCCTGTGGAGGGTCCTGTGAACGACCCTGTGGAGGGTCCTGTAAACGGCCCTGTGGAGGGTCCTGTAAAAGGCCCTGTGGAGGTCCTGTAAATGACCCTGTGGAGGGTCCTGTAAAAGGCCCTGTGGAGGGTCCTGTAAATGACCCTGTGGAGGGTCCTGTAAAAGGCCCTGTGGAGGGTCCTGTAAACAGCCCTGTGGAGGGTCCTGTAAATGACCCTGTGGAGGGTCCTGTAAAAGGCCCTGTGGAGGGTCCTGTAAACAGCCCTGTGGAGGGTCCTGTAAATGACCCTGTGGAGGGTCCTGTAAATGACCCTGTGGAGGGTCCTGTAAAAGGCCCTGTGGAGGGTCCTGTAAACAGCCCTGTGGAGGGTCCTGTAAACGACCCTGTGGAGGGTCCTGTAAATGACCCTGTGGAGGGTCCTGTAAACAGCCCTGTGGAGGGTCCTGTAAACGACCCTGTGGAGGGTCCTGTAAATGACCCTGTGGAGGGTCCTGTAAACGGCCCTGTGGAGGGTCCTGTAAACAGCCCTGTGGAGGGTCCTGTAAACGACCCTGTGGAGGGTCCTGTAAATGACCCTGTGGAGGGTCCTGTAAACAGCCCTGTGGAGGGTCCTGTAAACGGCCCTGTGGAGGGTCCTGTAAACGGCCCTGTGGAGGGTCCTGTAAACGACCCTGTGGAGGGTCCTGTAAACGGCCCTGTGGAGGGTCCTGTAAACGGCCCTGTGGAGGGTCCTGTAAATGACCCTGTGGAGGGTCCTGTAAACAGCCCTGTGGAGGGTCCTGTAAACGGCCCTGTGGAGGGTCCTGTAAATGACCCTGTGGAGGGTCCTGTAAACGGCCCTGTGGAGGGTCCTGTAAACGACCCTGTGGAGGGTCCTGTAAATGGCCCTGTGGAGGGTCCTGTAAAAGGCCCTGTGGAGGGTCCTGTAAATGACCCTGTGGAGGGTCCTGTAAATGACCCTGTGGAGGGTCCTGTAAACAGCCCTGTGGAGGGTCCTGTAAATGACCCTGTGGAGGGTCCTGTAAAAGGCCCTGTGGAGGGTCCTGTAAACAGCCCTGTGGAGGGTCCTGTAAATGACCCTGTGGAGGGTCCTGTAAAAGGCCCTGTGGAGGGTCCTGTAAACGACCCTGTGGAGGGTCCTGTAAATGGCCCTGTGGAGGGTCCTGTAAATGACCCTGTGGAGGGTCCTGTAAAAGGCCCTGTGGAGGGTCCTGTAAATGACCCTGTGGAGGGTCCTGTAAATGGCCCTGTGGAGGGTCCTGTAAACGACCCTGTGGAGGGTCCTGTAAACGACCCTGTGGAGGGTCCTGTAAACGGCCCTGTGGAGGGTCCTGTAAACGGCCCTGTGGAGGTCCTGTAAATGACCCTGTGGAGGGTCCTGTAAATGACCCTGTGGAGGGTCCTGTAAATGACCCTGTGGAGGGTCCTGTAAATGACCCTGTGGAGGGTCCTGTAAACGGCCCTGTGGAGGGTCCTGTAAAAGGCCCTGTGGAGGGTCCTGTAAAAGGCCCTGTGGAGGGTCCTGTAAAAGGCCCTGTGGAGGGTCCTGTAAATGGCCCTGTGGAGGGTCCTGTAAAAGGCCCTGTGGAGGGTCCTGTAAACAGCCCTGTGGAGGGTCCTGTAAATGACCCTGTGGAGGGTCCTGTAAACGGCCCTGTGGAGGGTCCTGTAAACGGCCCTGTGGAGGGTCCTGTAAACAGCCCTGTGGAGGGTCCTGTAAATGACCCTGTGGAGGGTCCTGTAAAAAGCCCGTGGAGGGTCCTGTAAAAAGCCCGTGGAGGGTCCTGTAAACGGTCCTGTGGAGGGTCCTGTAAACAGCCCTGTGGAGGGTCCTGTAAACGACCCTGTGGAGGGTCCTGTAAACGGCCCTGTGGAGGGTCCTGTAAAAGGCCCTGTGGAGGGTCCTGTAAACGACCCTGTGGAGGGTCCTGTAAACGGCCCTGTGGAGGGTCCTGTAAATGACCCTGTGGAGGGTCCTGTAAAAGGCCCTGTGGAGGGTCCTGTAAATGACCCTGTGGAGGGTCCTGTAAATGACCCTGTGGAGGGTCCTGTAAATGACCCTGTGGAGGGTCCTGTAAACGGCCCTGTGGAGGGTCCTGTAAAAGGCCCTGTGGAGGGTCCTGTAAACGGCCCTGTGGAGGGTCCTGTAAATGACCCTGTGGAGGGTCCTGTAAAAAGCCCGTGGAGGGTCCTGTAAATGACCCTGTGGAGGGTCCTGTAAACGACCCTGTGGAGGGTCCTGTAAAAGGCCCTGTGGAGGGTCCTGTAAACGGCCCTGTGGAGGGTCCTGTAAATGACCCTGTGGAGGGTCCTGTAAATGACCCTGTGGAGGGTCCTGTAAAAGGCCCTGTGGAGGGTCCTGTAAAAGGCCCTGTGGAGGGTCCTGTAAATGACCCTGTGGAGGGTCCTGTAAACGGCCCTGTGGAGGGTCCTGTAAAAAGCCCTGTGGAGGGTCCTGTAAACGGCCCTGTGGAGGGTCCTGTAAATGACCCTGTGGAGGGTCCTGTAAATGACCCTGTGGAGGGTCCTGTAAACGGCCCTGTGGAGGGTCCTGTAAATGACCCTGTGGAGGGTCCTGTAAAAGGCCCTGTGGAGGGTCCTGTAAATGACCCTGTGGAGGGTCCTGTAAACGGCCCTGTGGAGGGTCCTGTAAAAGGCCCTGTGGAGGGTCCTGTAAAAGGCCCTGTGGAGGGTCCTGTAAAAGGCCCTGTGGAGGGTCCTGTAAAAAGCCCGTGGAGGGTCCTGTAAAAGGCCCTGACCATGGATAATTACCCCACGGCCTGCGGTGGAAACGAGACTAAAGACACATCACAGATAAACACAGGAAACAGAGAAACCACAGATTTCAGCCCAAACTGGTGATGTCACACGTTACTGAGACAGAGGAGTTTACTTTGACATGAAAGTCAATAGGAGCCAAACTTCACCATGAGCACTTCCCTTTGGGCTTCATTGAGCTAGCGTGTTAGCATTGTCTCATAAGTGATGTCTCACTGAGCTGCAGGTTGTGTTATACAAATAAATGTCTTCTGTGTGTCTGTGTGTGTGTGTTACCTTCACAGTGTGTGTGTGTGTGTGTGTCTATGTGTGTGTGTGTGTGTGTGTGTGTGTCTATGTGTGTGTGTGTTACCTTCACAGTGTGTGTGTGTGTCTATGTGTGTGTGTGTGTCTGTGTGTGTGTGTCTGTGAGTGTGTTACCTTCACAGTGTGTGTGTGTATGTCTGTGTGCCTGTCTGTGCGTGTGTGCGTATCTGTGTGTGTTACCTCCACAGTGTGTGTGTCCGTACAGGATGTGTCCTCTGTGACACAAACACTGGAATCCTCCGGGAAAATTCACACAAGTGTGATCACAGGTACGATCGAAGGAACACTCGTCTATGTCTGCAACACAGAGACACACACAGACACAGACACAGACACACACACACACAGACACACACACAGACGCACACACACACACAGACACAGAAACATACACACACACACACACACACAGACACACACACAGACGCACACACACACACAGACGCACACGCGCACGCACGCACACACACACACACACACACACACACACACACACACACACACACACAGACACAGACACACACACACACACACAGACACAGACACACAGAAACATACACACACACACACACACACATAGACACGCACACACACACACACACACAGAAACATACACACACACACACACACACAGACACACACACAGACGCACACACACACACAGACGCACACGCGCACGCACGCACACACACACACACACACACACACACACACACACACACACACAGACACAGACACACACACACACACACAGACACAGACACAGACACAGACACACACACACACACAGACACAGACACAGACACAGACACACACACAGACACAGACACAGACACAGACACAGACACACACACACACACACAGACACAGACACAGACACAGACACAGACACACACACACACACACACACACACAGACACAGACACACACAGACACAGACACAGACACAGACACAGACACACACACAGACACACACACACACACACACACACACACACACACACACACACACACACACACACACACACACACACACACACACACACAGACACAGACACACACACACACACACACACACACACACACAGACACAGACACAGACACAGACACAGACACAGACACACACACACACACACACACACACACAGACACAGACACAGACACAGACACACACAGACACAGACACAGACACACACACACACACAGACACACACACAGACACACACACACACACACACACACACACACACACACACACACACACACACACACACACACACACACACACACACACACACACAGACACAGACACAGACACACACACACACACACACACACACACACACACACACAGACACAGACACAGACACAGACACAGACACACACACACACACACACACACACAGACACACACACAGACACACACACACACACAGACACAGACACAGACACACACACACACACACACACACACACACACACAGACACAGACACAGACACAGACACAGACACACACACACACACACACACACACACACACACACACAGACACACACACACACACAGACACAGACACAGACACACACACACACACACACACACACACACACACACACAGACACAGACACAGACACAGACACAGACACAGACACAGACACACACACACACACACACACACACACACACAGACACAGACACAGACACACACACACACACAGACACAGACACAGACACAGACACAGACACAGACACACACACACACACACACACACACACACACACACACATATTAACGTCTCCTTGCTCGTGAGCTCTGTACAGAGAAATATCAGAGTGTGGTCTTTTTGCACAGACCGAGCCGTGGCGAGGTTAATAAATGTTTTATTATATGACTATTTTTAATTTATGCAAATATCGATCTCCGACTTGGTTTCCCTGGTCCTGTTTTTATCTTTCTGGTGTGTAACAAAGTTGTCGATCTCTTCTTGACTGTTGAAGTTGTGTTTTCGTTGTTATTTGCAGTTATTACTTCCTCTGCCTTTTCAAACTCGTCGCTCACTTTTTTCTTTTTTACCGAGGAAAGTATCAAATGTGATACGCCCTGCGGACCAGTTGTCATGGTAACGGTCCAAGATGGGAAAATATCAGAGCCAATCAGAGCGTACGATCCAAGTCATGTAATAAGTGGTGATATTTCTAAGAAATGTATATTCAATACAACATGTGGCGCCCCCTGCCAGTGAAAGCCAGATCACATCAGAGCTCTGGAGATAAGCAGGGCAGGGTCTGGTTAGCGCTGTGATGGGAGACATAAAGTGGGGCTCCGACTGTGAAGTGCCAAACACACAGTGAATGGTCGAACCCCAATGTGTTTACCCCACACTGTCTCATCTACACAGTCTGTGCTCCAATCCCAATGTGTTTACCCCACACTGTCTCACCTACACAGTCTGTGCTCCAATCCCAATGTGTTTACCCCACACTGTCTCACCTACACAGTCTGTGCTCCAATCCCAATGTGTTTACCCCACACTGTCTCACCTACACAGTCTGTGCTCCAATCCCAATGTGTTTACCCCACACTGTCTCACCTACACAGTCTGTGCTCCAATCCCAATGTGTTTACCCCACACTGTCTCATCTACACAGTCTGTGCTCCAATCCCAATGTGTTTACCCCACACTGTCTCATCTACACAGTCTGTGCTCCAATCCCAATGTGTTTACCCCACACCCCTGAACCCTGAGTCGTCGAGCTGCAGCGGTGCAGTTTGACGGAGGAGGAAGTGGTCAGTGTGTGTGTGTCTGTGTGTGTGTGTGTATGTGTGTGTTTGTGTCTGTGTGTGCGTGTGTGCGTGCGTGTGTGCATGTGTGTGTGTGTGTGTGTGTGTGTGTGTGTGCCGTGCGTGTGTGTGCGTGTGAGCGT